GAACCCTTTATCAATGATGTGGCATGGGTTTAAAACAGCTTTTATCCAGTATAATCTTGCGAGTCTGATAGGTTCTACACTTGGATTACTCGCTGGGGGGAGGATTCTTTGGGCTAGGTATGGTTGCAGCCCTGAGGATTGAAACATCGCACCAGCTTCAACCCAGTAGACAACTTTAAAACTGATATCCATAACTCGAACGTCCGTAAGATGTATTGTGGTAGCTGGATCAGCCTCTTTCCTCTCCGAAAACGTACGAGTCGCAAATTCAAGTCCTGTAGACTGTAGGCGAAATCAGGCAGAGGGACAAATATGACATAAGATGCACTTGGCTGGTCTTTGATTAGGCCTACTGTCAAAGCCCAGGACGTTTTAGGAAGCATGCGGGTACGTGCTACTGAGGCGCTGGGCCGATTAACCGCAAAATATGACTAGCGAATCCAACGCTGTGCTGTCGGAAACGCAGACGCTCTCTTTTGTGGCCCACGTCGACTTCAGGTGGTAATTATATGCCGTCTCCACCCCTTGATTGCAGTTGTTCACTCCGCGCATTTGACACTGATGTCCACTCCCGTACTTGACCCATGAACAACGTTCACACCCTTCTCCCTGCGCCCGCCTCGTCATGCGGGCGGCGTGAAAACGATGAAAACTTAGAACACTGTCAAATTCTAATGTTTTCATCTGTGTGCCTGTGCAGGTCTGATGAAGAATTACGGAAAACATGTTTGCCGATTTGAATTTTCAAGAAGAGCATGAGAATATGCACAGAACTCAAAAATGTTTGCCCATTTTATAAATTAAACTAGTGTCTCAAGAAAGTGGTCGTATTTGTACAGGTCAAATTCAATAGAAATTAGTTTATTTAAAATGTAGGGAACTTGCCTTGATTCGCCGACCTTTTCCAGTATACGAGTGCCCGACTGTAACGCTCACTTTCAGGAACAATGCTGACGTCCCCTGAAAAAAGAATTCATGCATTTGGTATAATTTCATTGTTGGTTTAAGCAGGCGAAATGTAATACCATGAACTGACTATTTGTTATTCGCAGTTAATCGAGAAAAAATAGCAACGGCGGAAGCGATGCGTACCGTCTTCGAGCATGAGGGCCGCATTGCTCTGAGCCACTTCGTAGCCCAGTTCAGCTAAGGCAAGATACTGCAGGAAGGCCACGTTGTAGTTACCCGACCAGTATTCTAGGTAAGCGGAAGTCAGGAGCTGCGACCAGCGACCGCGTTCTGCGACATTCTTGAAGAGCTGAAAATTGCGGGAAAAAAAGAACCCGGAGTAACTTCTGGCGGAATAAACAACGCAAAAGGAAAACAAACGGTCAACATAGCAGAGGACCCCAAAGGCTTCAAATGCTCACCTCAGCGG